CAGCAACAACAGCAACAACAGCAACAACAGCAACAACAGCAACAACAGCAACAACAGCAACAACAGCAACAACAGCAACAACAGCAACAACAGCAGCAGCAGCAGCGCCCGCTTTTTTCGCTATCACTCAACAGCAACAGCCTCCGCTTTTATTTTTTCGCTATCACCTTCAGAGCGCCCTCGCGGGCCTCCTTTTTCATTCGTTTACTTGCTCGCCATCTTCCGGACACGGAGCCACGAACGGGACAGAGAGAAAGAAGAGGAGGAAAAACCACGAACAGCAACAAGCCACGACAGACGAGGACAAGCGCAACGCCAGAGAGCCTTTGGACCTGTGGCGCGGATCTGCTCAGATTCTTGGCCTTGCGGGTAGGTTTCTTTGGTGGGTCTTTCTCTGTCGGTTTTCGGGGACTCGATCAGCCTCTTCCTTGATTTCTCTCACAACTTGGGAGCCGCGACGACTCTGACCACATCAAACCAGAAGCAGACACCTAGCGCCCGCCTGCGCGGGGCTGCTCCGCGGGCCTGCCTCCGTGTTTTTCGCTATCACTTTCGGGGGCCCCCCTCTTTTCGCTAGCTATAACTCGCGGACGACCCTCGCGGGCCTCCGTTTTCCTTTGTCCTTGTTGTTCGCTATAGTTCAGACACAAGGCCACGATCGAACAGAGAGGGAGAAAAGAAGAAAAAAACCACGAAAACCCGCGCCAGCCATGGCCAACGCGTTGAAGATGGTGCCCGCGGTGATGCGTGTCCCACTGCCCGCCGGCGCCTCTTGGTTGCTTGTTCTTACTGTGGGAACGGGGCCCCCCTTTTTTCGCTATATTTTGCGGACGACCCTCGCGGGCCTCCGCGTTCCTTTGTTCTTGTTCTTCGCTATAGTTCGGACACAAGGCCACGAACGGGACAAAGAGACGGAAGAGAAGAAAAAAACCGCGGACACCCGCGCCAGCTATGGCCAACGCGTTGAAAATGGTGCCCGCGGTGGTGCGTGTTTAACTGCCCGCCGGCGCCTCCTGGTTGCTTGCTCTTGTCACCATCTTGGGAACACGGCCCGGGCCCCCCTTTTTTCGCTATAATTTGCGGACGACCCTCGCGGGCCTCTGCTTTGTTTCCTTTGTTCTTGTTGTTCGCTATGGTTCGGACTCAAGGCCACGAACGGGACAAAGAGAGAGAAAAGAAGAAAAAAGCCACGAACACCCGCGCCAGCTATGGCCAACGCGCTGAAGATGGTGCCCGTGGTGGTGCGTGTTCCACTGCCCGCCGGCGCCTCTTGTTTGCTTGTTCTTACTATGGGAGCGGGGTCCCCATTTTTTCGCTATAGTTTGCGGATGACGCTCGCGGGCCTCCGTTTTGCTTTGTTTTTGTTGTTCGCTATACTTCGGACACAAGGCCACGAACGGGACAAAGAGACGGAAGAAGAGAAAAAAACCGCGAACACCCGCGCCAGCTATGGCCAACGCGTTGAAAATGGTGCCCGTGGTGGTGCGTGTTTAACTGCCCGCCGGCGCCTCCTCGTTGCTTGTTCTTACTTCTATGGGAACACGGCCCCCCTTTTTTCGCTGTGATTTGCGGACGACGGACCCTCGCGGGCCTCCGCGTTCCTTTGTTCTTGTTGTTCGCTGTGGTTCGGACCCAAGGCCACGAACCGGACAAAGAGAGAGAAAAGAAGAAAAAAGCCAGGAACACCCGCGCCAGCTATGGCGAACGCGCTGAAGATGGTGCCCGTGGTGGTGCGTGTTTCACTGCCTGCCGGCGCCTCTGGGTTGCTTGTTCTTACTATGGGAGCCGGGCCCCCTTTTTTTCGCTATAATTTGCGGACGGCCCTCGCGGGCCTCCGTTTTCCTTTGTTCTTGTTGTTCGCTATAGTTCGGAGACAAGGCCACGAACGGGACAAAGCGACGGAAGAGAAGAAAAAAACCGCGGACACCCGCGCCAGCTATGGCCAACGCGTTGAAAATGGCGCCCGTGGTGGTGCGTGTTTAACTGCCCGCCGGCGCCCCCTGGTTGCTTACTCTTGTCACCATCTTGGGAACACGGCTCCCCTTTTTTCGCTATAATTTGCGGGCGACCCTCGCGGGCCTCCGCTTTGTTTCCTTTGCTCTTGTTGTCCGCTATTGTTCAGACCCAAGGCCACGAACAGGACAAAGAGGGAGAAAAGAAGAAAAAGGCCACGAACACCCGCGCCAGCTATGGCCAACGCGTTGAAGGTGGTGCCCGCGGTGGTGCGTGTTTCACTGCCCGCCGGCGCCTCCTCGTTGCTTGTTTTTACTATGGGAGCAAAGCCCCCCTTTTTTTCGCTACAATTTGCGGACGGCCCTCGCGGGCCTCCGTTTTCCTTTGTTCTTGTTGTTCGCTATAGTTCGGACACAAGGCCACGAACGGGACAAAGAGACGGAAGAGAAGAGAAAAACCACGAACACCCGCGCCAGCTATGGCCGACGCGTTGAAAATGGTGCCCGTGGTGGTGCGCGTTTCGCTTTCACTGCCCGCCGGCGCCTCTCGGCTGCTTGTTCTTACTATGGGAACGGGGTCCCCATTTTTTCGCTAAATTTTGCGGACGACCCTCGCGGGCCTCCGTTTTGCGTTGTCCTTGTTGTTCGCTATGGTTCGATCGGCCACAGGGCCATGAACAGGAGGGACAAAGAGACAGAAGAGAAGAAGAAAACCGCGAACACCCGCGCCAGCTATGGCTGACGCGTTGAAAATGGTGCCCGTGGTGGTGCGCGTTTAACTGCCCGCCGGCGCCTCTTGGTTGCTTGTTCTTACTATGGGAACGGGGCCCCCCTTTTTTCGCTATTTTTTGCGGACGACCCTCGCGGGCCTCCGTTTTGCTTTGTTCTTGTTGTTCGCTATAGTTCGGACGCAGGGCCACGAACGGGACAAAGAGACAGAAGAGAAGAAAAAAACCGCGAACACCCGCGCCAGCTATGGCTGACGCGTTGAAAATGGTGCCCGTGGTGGTGCGCGTTTAACATTAACTGCCCGCCGGCGCCTCTTGGCTGCTTGTTCTTGTCACCATCTTGGGGACAGGGTCCCCCTTTTTTCGCTACCACTAGCGCACGCCCTCGCGGGCTCTCGTCTTTTCGCTCTCATTCTCACGGGAACACCTCACGCCCCGCGCTCCTTTGCACTACCGACAAAGACAAGCAGCCGCCTGCGCTCTTTTCTCTCTCTCTCTTCCTACCGATGAAGAGCACCCGCGGGCCCTCCCCCTTTCCCTTCTGTTCTCCCTCTCTCACTGGCTTTTACCGATCTGACGAACACTCACACAGGCGCAACAGCTGCACGCCAAAAAAGAAGCCGAAACCCACAGAAAGGGCCCCGGCTGCGCGTTGGCGTTTCGTTTTCTCATCTTTGTGATAGTTCTGCCCTTTGTTTTTGCTTCTTGTTGTCCGGTCTTCGTGTGCTTTTCCCCGCCTTTTTGGTCCTCCTTTGCTTTTGCTCTTCCTCCTTTGCTTGCTTGTTGTTTTCTTCTTTCCCTTTCTGGCCCCTTTTCCTGTGTCGCGTCCTCTTGTTCCTCGCCGCTTTTTCTTCTCTTCGCTCTCCTACTTCTTGTCGCTGATCTTCCTGCCTCATCACCGCAGGCACGTCATAAGGCTTTTACTAAAAAGATTGGCACCGCTGCCACATTTTCAAGGGGAATCGGTGGCAGTACTGCCACCTCCCTCTTGTATTTAAAGCCAGCGCGCTCCCGCTCCCCTTTGCCGCAACGCGGAGGGGAGTGCGCGCCCTTCGGGCGCCCGTTTCACCTTGTGAAACCATTCACCCCCACCCACGCCCCTAAAGTATCCTTTTCCCTTCCTTAACGTCTCCCGGGGCACCCGGGCCCGGGGAGTAAAGCTATCACTATTTAGTCTATTTTCCATACCCCTTGCTCTTCACGTTCACCAGTACCTCTTCCTCTACTTCTAATCTTCAGGCAACGTTGTTCGCAAAGCTGGAGAAACAAACAAACCGTTTCAGCAGTGATCCGAGGAATTGACGCTATGATCGGTTCATCAATGTGAAAAAATACACGAGCAGCTGCATGATTCAAGCTGCTGCATTTTTAAGTTGTAAGATGTCAACTACATTCTTCTACAACTATGTTGACAAAAAACGAAGAGGAAGAAGTTGCTAAAATTTTTAGAACCTCTTTGTCTCAGTGTATGAAGGTCGTGAGATGACGATGTTGTTCTTTTATCGCGCTCCTTCCTGGCACACTTTGATGCTGTATGCGAGACGAGAGTTGATGCGGAGTAGGAGGGTTTTGCCTCTCAAATAAACAACGTCAGCAAACATGAAGCAAAGTCTGTGAGATCCATCTGCTGGAAAGAAGAGGTAAAGGACAAAAAGGTTTTTGTCGTGGACGTGGTCGAGAGATGTAGCGCTTAGCACAAGATTTCCATGAACATTCGGCATCGAGGACGTCGTAGACTTCGGGTTGATAAGTGAATAAAAAAGATATTGGCTCGACTTCACAACTCGATGTCCTTGATGGAATTCGTTTATAACAGACGTGATCGAGGAGCTCGAGGACGAAGACAAAGAGCGAGAACGATTAGATGTTCCACGGCGTAATAGGAAATGGAACCTGTCGTTCTCGTCATTTGTAGAAATTCTGTTTCCACACCCACATCCACCAGTAAGGTAAAAAGTACAAGAAGAAGCTGGTAGCGTTAGACTTAGAGATTGAATCTTGTTTTGTTTCCTTTCGTCTGTGCATCCTGGAACTACAAAATGGGTGCCTCGCCGTCCACGCCTAAAATGGGAGCCTTCTCCTGGTGGCCTTCGTCTTCGTCTTCGTCTTCGCTAGACGGCTTGAAGAAGGCACTTCCCCGCATTGCCAGAGCTGCGCGCATTTTGCTCTATCAGCACCAGGCTCGTATCCACAGTCATCCATTTTTGAGTATTGTAGACAAGCCAGACCATGACCAATCCTTCCTCTGGCCGATGTTCCTAGAAGCAGTAGCGCAACATCCTGTCCCGGACCCGGTTGAAAAAGACGCCTTGAAAAAACTCGAGGATAGAATCCTTGAAAAACTATCACCACCTCGTGGTGTTAAGTTACCTAACCCGAAGCTTGTCCTCGCTCTAAGTCCCTGGGTGAGGAAGAAAGGGTCAGATTTATGGTCAGCTTTTTTCTATTCATCTCTCTGTCTCTACATGATCTTGGCACCCTCTCGTTAGGATAGAGTCCAAGGGCTGGAGAGATACCAAGATTGAGGGACCGGGATAAGTTCAAGCACTCTCTAACCCATGTGACAGACGACGAACAGTATGGTTTGCTGAAGCTAGAACCAGAAGAAGTAATACATGTGCGTCGACTACAGTTTCAGGTTCAGGAGCCAGAAAATGAAATCCTCGCCAGCGAAGTTGTGTTCGATATTACAATTGTACCCGATAGCGAGGACCAGGAGCAGGATAAGAATGGCCTCAAGCCTTTTCAAATGCTGATATCGAATCCAACTAGCGATGCGCTGGATTGGACCTCGAGAACCTTTAGAGAAAAGATTAGATTCCAGGATGAGGAAGCGCAAGCGAGTTTCTCGCAGCTTCACGTCGCTCCTAGCGAACAGGGAAGGTAAGCTTCTTGTCTTATATTAAGTGTGTTCATCAGCTTATGAATATTTATGCTATTGCCACTCTTTTTCTTTTGTTTTGATATAGCTTATTCTATTTTCCTTCAACATTGTTATCACCTTCAACTTCGAAGGAGGATTCTATAGATACTTCTTTTGATATTGGCATTGTTATACTCATGATCTTGATCTTCATGATTTTCCTAAGTATAATTTACGTCCAAAATTCCACACAGCAGTGTTGCCGTCGGTGGGGGGGCAGCCACAACGACAACTAACGCGTTTTATCTGCAGAGCGATGCGCATGAGCTAGAGGCATCCCGATTGTTGCACGGTGCAGGTACTATAACTGACGCTAAGGGATCTCGATCTCCAGACTATGATAAAACTCAGCAAATGAAAATGTGTAATCTTTCTTACCCCATAGCATAGTACCCGATGAACCAATAACACTCTAGTTTCGAGAATATTGTATAGACTAGTGAGCTGTTGTTTTTTGATGTACTAGTTGACGACTGTGCAAAGAACAAGATCAGTCTTCCTCCCCTTTGAGTTGACGAAATTCTACGTCAACTCCAACCTCAACGCAAATTAATTGCACAACAAAAAAATTACAACAGAACGCCACACTTGCAGCAATATGCAGAATACTGGCTTTGCGGCACGTCTGATGCAGGACCATGCGCTTGCCTCAGGGTTTTGCGTTTTTTTCACCATTATCACGCTGCTAGTGGTTTTTTTCGTGCGTCGCTGCCGCTCTCAGATGCACAAACGCAACAGCGCGGACGAAGTCGCCGACGCCTTGGAAGCCGGGAACTACGGCTCCACCGAACAGGATGCGGCTACGCCGCAGTAACTCTTTACGATCGTTCGTTGTAGATTTAATTGGTAGAGATCCTCCTTCTGATCAACTATAGAACAAGAGATAATTTTTCTTTTTCAATTGATTAAGTAGAGGTCTTACCGTTAGTCTTCTATTTCAATCAATTTGTCAAAGTTCATTATCTTTTTTCGTTGATGTAGGTGAATCTTACCAGTAGTTGATAAGAGGTGGATAAGTAATAGTAAGCTCAGGTGCATGTTGGCGCACAATGATGTGAAGAGAACTGGAATTGTAATTGTTTAGTCGAAATGTCGTATCTAATCGTAGAAGACTCAGTTGTTGGTCGGATACTTCAATGAGGGTACTAGAAGAAGTAGAGATAGAGGAATAGATTAGACTGTCTTCGATGTTGGTCCTCCGATCATTACGACAGTTTTCGACTCCATGAACAAGATGAGTTCGAACGAAGAGTAGAATCGATTTGAACAAATGGAATATATTTACGATTACAGCTAGTAAGTTGTACATGTAGAAGTACTAGAAGACGTTTTGAGTTTATCTGAAGATTTGTTGATAGATTACATCGAATTCGAAGGACCTCAGTTGGGTGATGAGGATCTCTACTCAATTTGGTATTTTTATCTCTGAACAGAAATGACATAGAACAATTTATCAGGAATGATATAAATCATTACATGCAACGCCTCGCGCTAGGCACATCCATTCACTCACTCGATCTACAGGTTGCGTTTGTTCGTATTACAAATACAAACGTCGCAGGCATCCTCCAGAATCCAAGAATATTATTCCGCACTCATAAGATGAAGCAAGTGCAAGATGAATGTGTAAAATGAGCATTAATGTTTCTGATAGTAGTTCCAATCTAGCTAAAGCGACAGCGTTTATCGATGATGGTAAAGCGCTAACGCTTGCATGTTTTAATAGTGGTGAACAGTGATGAATACGAACAATACCGATTGGTATTTCTCAGAACTGCAAGTATTACGTCTAACAACTGCAAAAATGAGTTAGCCGATGTTGTGGCATTAGATGTGTGGGTATGACGAGTGCATCATCCCTGCGGCCATCACCTTTACTATCTCCGTCAGCTTCTACGACTTGTTCGTGATGTAGTCAGGTGCTAGACCTACAGGACCAAAGCAATATCTGGATTTTATCGTTAGATCCACATATGATGAATACCGCAATAAGTCTCGAATGTTGACAGACATAGATGAATTTGTTCGGTTAATGTCTCTGAATCTGCTTCTTATTCTTCCTGTTTGAACCCCAGAAATAATTGCGAATCAGATGACGTTGACGTACAACTTGCCTCGGATATCAATGCATTCATCATCCCCAGACTTTTCTATTGAACAACATGTTGTTTACGGTTAGTTCGTTAGCAGAGCATCTTATGTGTTTTTATCCACTTACCTTCCTCTCGTCTCTCTCTTTCTCATGATGTGTGAAGAATTTATCTATTAGGATTCATTTTCATTTTGATCATGACCCTACTTCTCAAGGATTTCAGCACATCGTCGTGTCTGGATCCCAGTCTCGTGTAAAGAAACTGATTCCAAGAAGGGTTTATTTTCATGATGCGTTGCTTGTACTTGAGCTTGAGAAGTGGAAGAAGAAGGTGTCAGTGGAAATGAACACGACTATCATCAATACCCGTCAGTGTCGGAGGGTAATTGACATCCAAGCAAAAAGCAGACGAGATTTCTTGTATTTCTCATTGAGTAAATCTAAATTGCCAAGAAGGGTTTCAGTCCTTGTCGTAGCTATCATGCTATTGGCATCAAGGCTACCTTGTTTTTAATGAGTTGCAACCTAGTTTCTTCACAGTTAGCACGTTATCGCACATTATCACTCTTTCACAACCTAAACCTAGCGAAATCGAAGGACCAATGTCACGAGATGCAAGAAGTCCCTACTCGAGAAACGCTAACATTCTGTGCATGGCGACGATTCCTCCCGTCGTGGTGAATGTGCGACTCCTCCTGTCGTAGTCGTAACTTGCATTCGCCTAAAGGCCCCCTCTTACATACAATCAAGTTTCTCACTAACACTGACTCATCATGGCAGCACGGCTTGATAATTATCCCTTGTGATACTTTTCCTTCGTTGTGGTCCGTCGTATCCGCTTGTTTGTTGTTTTTGAGGACTCCAACAAGTGATACCCAAAAAAAATCAAAAAAAGAATCTTAATGTGGAAGGAACGGTCTGTCAATAATTTCTGTCTTCAGAGAGACAGACACCCAAACGGCACTCAGTCGGTAAACATTTGTGGATAAGGGTAAGTAGTACAATACCCCCAAAAAAGAAGAAAGAAGAAATCGAAAACAAAAATGGACAAATCTGATGAAGGAAGAATCTGCATCATACAGCTAAGTACGTTGAAAGATGAAAACCTTTCGCGTAATCCTCATAGCGTATTCAGTGATTCTTTGACTCTACTCAGAAGCTAAAGCTAGCTTTGTCGTTATCCATCTGCGTCTTCTCTTTCATATTTGACCGAAAACATACATGACGATGACAAGCATTCATCCACCTCACCCAAGAACTACATCATGATCGCTACGAGTAAAGGTCCCTTCACTTCGTTGACGCAATTCGACGTTACGAACGAGCTGTACCGGTCCGCTTGTGGAGTCGTTTTTTTAGCCAAAACGAAAGCACATCTGGGCGATATACCCAAAGGGACACTCGTTGTGCTGAAAAAAAGACCCTATTCACCAGCGGAGTTGGTGGATAAGAAGAACGGGGGTAAGGTTTTTTTTAGTACCACTTGCTGGAATCGGCTTGGAATGACAAAGGTTTGCATCCGATGAAACATGATTTATTTTGAAATGAGGACCACGCGCATTTTAGGTCTACATTGACATTATGAAGGGCCCTTGTAGTTCTTTTTCTTGACAAGAATGAACCATTGTAATTGTGCGGTCTTTCGACCACTCAGGTACCCACTAATCCAACTCGCACACTACAGATAGACCCCAGCAACATGATAAGCTTGGAGGAAAAGGGAAGAAAAATTTGTTGGAGAACTTTTCTCTCTTGCACGAATATGGTCTCCTCATGGAGTGTCGCGGACACCGAAACGTTATCGAGTGCTATGGATATTTTTTGTTAAGGTAGGCTCTTTTAGTTTTAGTAGTAGTACTAGCAGGTCTTCTAGGTCTAGTTCTAACTCAACTAGTACAACTTCTTTCTCCGACGTATACTATACGTATTGCTATCATGTATTTCTGATTTTCCACTACACGGACTGCTAGTTCTATCAGTATCCGCTCTATGTCTATCATCTATCATCTATCTCTACATCTTCCAACACTAGCACTAATACTAAAAACTGCTTCTACTTCTAACCTCTGAAGACCGGCACTTAGTCCTTGTTATCGAATATGCAAGCAAAGGCGATTTGAACAAGGAATTAGCGATGCGCAGCAAGGGCAAGAAAGACTTTCGGGAAAGTGAGATATGTTAAGGCTGCCGCTGAAGCATGTCCTTAGTATCATCATCCTTGTCCGTCGGCCTCTTGTTTGAGGGGATAAAAAGCGACTCAAGGATGGGCTCAGGGGTGCGACGCGGTAGCTCTAAGTATGGGACTTGTTTTTGCAGATTCTAAACGGTCTCCGCTTCGTACACAGCAAGGGGATCGTGCATCGCGATGTGAAAAGCTTGAATTTATGGTGGAGATTTTTTATCTCGAGGATTCAAAGTTATGTTGTTAAAGGTGGGTAGATAAAGGGTGGAAAGTTGTTTTGAAGTTTTTTCCATGCATACGATTTGTTATTTCCATGGTAGGTAGTCGACAACGGCAACTGCCATCTTCGTCCTCCTCCGCCACCAAGATTTAAAAACCTACCCACGAAGTCTCTAACTTCCGTCTTCCTTTCGAAAGAAGGGTATTGCAAACTAGGCGACTTTGGAGTGAGTCGGATGCTGGAAAGCGATAATGCTTTGCTGAGCAGCTTCTATGGGACACCGCTGTACCTGTCACCTGAGATCATTTCCGGTAGCGGATATACGCAGAAAACAGACATTTGGTCGCTTGGGGTGTTGCTGCTATGGCTTGAGGGATGTTGTTGTAGTCGATGTGATGAAGATATTGAACCTAAAAATGGACGAAGGACCATTCTCAATCTAAATCTCAAAAACATGAACAATATCTAAATGTGGTATACAGAACGTGTGCGTGCTTGTGCTGATGTAGAGCAGTTGTCTATTAAGTAGTTCTTGTAGCTCATCTTCTATTAGTTATCATGGTAGACTTTATTATTTTCCAAGACATTGACTTTGAACACCTGTCCCAACCTGTATCTCTGCTCATCGCCATCTCACCCAACCTCCTCTAACTCTCTACGAGTGTGTCGCTGGTGGCGGGCGTATGCCGTTTTCGGGCGGAAATTTGCGTGATGTGACGAATGCAGTTTTAGGTGGGAGATACAAAGCCCTAGCCCATGCTTAAGGCTAGGTTTTCACTATGTATCTCATTATTTGGATTTGAGAACAATCTGTCAAATACATTTATCCTTGTTATACGACCTATGTGGACTATGCTGAGTGGAACTGGAGCCCCCCTTGATCATTCAAAGGAGAAAATAGGGGGGAGAAAGGGAAAGAACCTGCTCAGACAGGCATAGTGAAAAAGTAGCGCTAAAATGCCGGTTTCCAGGAAATCGTCAGAATGTGTCTGCAAAAAGACCCTGTAAAAAGACCAAACGCAGAAGACCTCTACCAATTCGTCAAGAGAAGAATGGCACAGGCTAAGAGGAAGGCTGCTTCTAGGACGAGTGGTCCTGTACCGGAGGAGGATGAGCAGGGGAAGAAGCAACTGCAACAGCTGCAAGAGATGAACATGAAGAACGAAGAAGAGTTTGGTAGAAAAAATGGCGGTGCAATAGCCAATGAAAATAAAGGGTCTGGGAAAGCGACAGGTAAAGGGAATTATAGAGCAGCGCAGAAAAACTCACAGGGTGGTCCTCCTTTTGAGGGAGAAATACACTCTGGTCGAGCATCACGACCACCAGCACTACCGCGTCGATTTTCATCGGCAGGTGTGCGTGGAACGCAGTGGGACAATATTAGACCTGGCCTAGGGTCCTCAAACGGTACTGGAATTCCATCCGCTGGAAACACATTTGGGTCTAGTAATTTTAAGACAAAGGCTGTTGCACCTCATCTATCTTCTGAGTTCTGAGTAATTTCTCACTAAGAGCAAGAACAAGAAGGGGTAGTGCTAGTGCGTCTCTAAACACAGGCGAATCAGAATTTGATCGGATTTCCTTGTTGCTAGAAGAAATAGAAGTTATTCTTCATCTAATTTGTCTGAAGATAAGTTGCATTCGTAGATCAAATTCACGCACATTAGCTCTAAGTACAGCTTTCTTGCCTCAGGCGGTTCTCGACGGAGAAGTTCTAGTACCCCCGCTGTTGTGTCTGCGGCACAAGCAAGACGAATTCGCGCTTCAGGTGTTGGGGCGCCTAGGCCAGCATATTTTCCTTCACATGCTGCGCAGCTAGTGCACTTCAACGGTGGACGCGTTCGAACAGGAGATCAGAACCCTCCTCCAGCTGTATCGACAGAACGATCTGGTACAGGAGTTGTAAAGAACAATAAGAAGCGCAGTTGTACGAGCTGGGAACCACGTGGTGACGCAGCATATTACGAGGATGCGGCTGCAGAAGTGGGACCAGAACAAGATTCGGAAGATTCTGATAATGAGGAAATAGATTACAGAGATCTTCCAGTTACGTCTGCTTCGTCACCGACCAAGAGACAGCGACTTATTGAAGGTTCGCATGCGGTCCCGCCTCTGCATGCTGGAAGCAACCGCAATTACTTTGGAGGGGCGACAGCGTTTATGGGAAAAAATATACATAGTGTCATCTTGATCTTCTTCGTAGAGCTTTTGCTTTGTGGAGTATCATGCCGCCTTTGAATTTGAAGGGGAAGGCCACATTAACGGCAAGGCGACCTACAGCTACTTGCACGACTTGATTAAGTAGGTGACATGATAAAAAACTACTACTTAATATACTTTTACTTTCTCTAACACTTCTGGCTCTCCACGCAGAGGCGATCGACAACACCATCAACGCGGACAGTCAAACTCCCCAGGACTCAACAAGAAAAAGAAGGTTACTCCAAAAATAGGGCATGATTTGCCTTTCATTTCGCACCCACATGGCGAACGCGAAATCATTGACCCTGAAGATGTTAACATCGAAGATGAAAAGGCCTCGTCTGCACTTCGAGATCGATTGTATCACCAGGTTTTGGCTAGACATCACGCTGGGAGACAACAACAACAGATTTTGCAGGATCCGCGCAACGTATTGCAAACAGGAGAGGAACAATCACACAATCAGCCAAACTACTACGCATCTGGTTCTTCGAGTGGAAGTGCTGCGAATAGAACTAGAAGTGGTACTAGTAGAGCACAACAGCAACGACGACCACGTAGTCTGTCCACGAGCCGGCCGCGATCTCGGAGTGCTGAACACGCATACAGTGGCCAGGTGCGATTAGATTTCGAAGGGCATGATGACCGAAGAGGAGCTTATCAAGGGCAAGACGATGCACTTCATCAATATCATGATGATCTTCAAGACGATTATCGAGAACGAGAACTACCCAGTTCCTACGAAGACTTTGCTGCTGATGCACTTGCACCAAACTATGATCTCGAACACCAACGACGATCCGCGTTGAGGTCTTCAGCGGACGCCTTTATAACACCCGAGAGAGCAGTAGAGCCACTACGGGACGCGCCAAACACGAAAGATAGAAGATACATTTCCGCAGCCTTTGACGACGACGCAGCGGGAAAACCAACTTTCTGGGGTACGGATCCTGAACGACCATCATCTAATTACAATGACTCTAGTACTTGTGCCGGAGGAGGCCCTAGAATTGTGCGTGTAGGTAAGAACCCTCTGAGAGGGCGTGGTGAGCAACTACACCGACGATCGAGGGGTGCCTCTGACGCAACAGAAGTGGAGAGATCGCTTTCACGAAATAGTAGGGCAGCTTCGAGAGGCCTCCAGAGAAGTCGTGGTCGTCCTAGCCAGATGGAAATGGAGCAACTACTGCAGCAGCAAGACAACCAAGCCTTTTCTCAGCACTCCAATAACATGCTGCTTCTAGAACAACAACAGGAGCCTGCAGGACTTCTAGAGCCTAGCACTCGATTGCATCTTCAACATCCACTCCCAGCTGCACCAAGCAGACGTGTATATGACCGCCACGATATTAATAGCCTTCATCAACAGCCTACAGGAGGTCCAGTTCGACGTCCAATTTCTTCTTCCCCTCTAGAGTCAGCGCGCACCAATCTAGTTGGTTCGCCAGAGTACTTCGCCAAGAAAGGTCGAGCACAACTCCGAGACGAAGCAACGTCGGAACGCGTGCTTTCTGGGCAGCAAGAAATGATCGGAGACCCAAGGACTGGGATGTGCTCACCAAAACGAGGCACTAGTCGTGTGGAGAATCTTCATGAGCAAGACTGCAGCGCCCCCACACGTCCTTCAGAGTTGTTCGACCATGAAGCTGCTCATCATCGCTTGTGGAAACTAGGGGATCACATGTCACCAAGGGACAAACGTTATCCGTTACCGAACAGGCAACTGTCGCCTATATGGCAGGAGGGCCAAGACCTGATAGACGATGTTCAGTGGGCTCGGAGCAACTTTAGACGAGAACATGCACTAAGACTAAAGGAAAGCAAGGACTTGTCAAGAAGTAGATCAATATCTCGACAGCATCAAGTATGGCAACCTTAAAACGTTATTTTAGCAAAACGTTAAAAGTTGATTTTTTAAAATAGCCGACTAGATTCCTAAGAAGTCAATTTTTAACGTTTTGCTAAAATAACGTTTTAAGACTGCCATATCAAGGGGAAGAACAAGAGTTCGTCCTGCAGAGAAGTAGAGCAGATCACGGTAGTGCAAGACTGAGAAGCACCAGTCGTTCGAGAGGACGGAGTGACAGCCAGACTGGGCAGACGAGGAGAGGAAATAAGACATCATCCACATCTTCTTCCAGAAGGTTTCCAACACATCCTGCAATTCTTCCTGCGGAGATGAATCGAGGCAGATCTCCACCAACTTCGGCGCGCACGATGCGTTGGGAGCAGCGACAAGCAGAAAGAAGAGAGGAAGGAAAGGGTTTTGTTGAATTAAGGCTAGTAATTGAGGACATCGTTACAGTTTCGCAGATATTGAAGCATGGTAGGTTGGTATGATTAGAAACTACAATTATTGATCCCCTAATCATGAACTAGTTGTAGAAATTACTGGTCTTTACTTTGTCTTTGACTTTTCTCATCCTCAGGATAAAGATGGATGATACGAGGCTAGTGGTTGCGCTTAGCTCTAATCAATGCAGAAGTAGTGAAGATCTCATCAAAGGGTGTCGGAGTCGGTCAACAGCGCAGTAAAGCCTCAACGACTGAAGAAGAAAACGAAATACCACTGTTAGGCAACGGAGCTCCTGCAGCGGATTACAGCTCCTCATCTTCATCAGCACGCGAGCAGAGGTTAGACCTTGTTTTTGGTGCTTCCAGTAGTGCGAATGCGAATGCACGTCGTCATTGGCATCTAGGGAATGCAACTGCTCCTGCAGCTTCGGTCCGGCAAGAGGTTGCGGCAGCCACAGCGTCAGCAAGTAGAAATGGGACTAGGGGTCGGGGAGTCAAAATCAAAAGATTCGATGTTGTGACTCAGTGTTGGGTGTGAAGGTTGACGAAGACTAAAAACTTTGAACTCGAGATTTGTACTTGCTTTTGCTATATTTTGCTTTGCTTGTTCTTGTGGTTGTTTCCTTGTACTTCCATGCTGATAAACATCTTGAGAATACAGAGACAGACTGACACGATGTTCACGCTAGTGATGGTTTGGAGATAAGAATAATCCAAGTTTGACCTACTTGCTGTACCTTCCCCATATAGTGCATGATGTGGAGTTGTCGGGCGCTGGAGCCAGCTACGCTACGCGTCTTGCAAACGAATGGATAACGGGCGAAGATAACGTTGCTGAACAGTTTAAAGATACAATTAATGTCGTGCTGATACAGGCTTCTTTCTACTAAAACAAATATCGTTCGATCGAAAATGGTGTGGTTGCTGTACAAGAACTGCAACTAGAACTACCTGGATGAAATACAGCTGACATGGTTGTCAGGATGCACAGCACTAAAAAAAGTGCCTGAAGAATTCATTCTCTGTAACTAAGCAGCTAAAGCTATCCCCTAAGTTCTCGAGATAGGACAACTTAGAGCTTCCAACAAAAATTTCACATCATCAACAAGAAAGCCACACATAACTACAACAAGAAAGCCACGATGCACTTCACACCTGGGTGGATCCTCACTCCTGTAGTGAAATTTTGGGAATGGTTTCTCAATTGGGTGAGCCGGATTCTCGATTTCGCTTGGGAAGTTACCCGAACGTGCCTCGAGGTGGCATGGAGCGTGACTTGGCACTTCCTGTGCTTCCTCTGGCGCCAACGGGTTTCCATACTGACACTTGCAGCGCTGTATGTGCTGAGTTTGTTAAGAGGAGAGGGGACAGTTTCAGTCTCGTTTGTTTTTGTTATTGTAATCACGTTCACGTTCACGAAGAAGTTCACGTAGTACGTGTGTACTCATTTTGTAAGGCGTGTGGTCGAAGAAGTTGTTGTAATACGTTCTACTCATTTTCCGTCTGATGTTGCAAGAACTTCCATATCCACATCAGCAACGTGAGCATTTCTTTCGGAAAATAGACCACGAGGCACGATCCGGATCCTTTTATGACCAGCGCAGGAAAAACAAAAATTATCTCTAACTTCAGTCCTAGCGTTTCTATGGAGTCGACGGCAGAACGTATGGATTGCTTTGCGGGTTCGCATTCGAAAAATGCAGTCTCAGTTCCAGAAACACCCTGAACGGCGCTATATCTTTTACTTCTATGTGTACTTATGGCTGGGTGTAAGTCCTATGTTCTAGTTCTTGTAGGTGTGGAATTTTTCGAAAAACGGAAAGCGAAAAAATGTATTGACTCATACTAAGTTGTTTTGAATCTTCATGGTGACGAATAGAATCGTCATTCTACGGCGACTTCCTATCTCTATAAGAACTTGCTTTTGTGATAGATCAACGTAATTCTACTTCAAGAGCTTACAAGCAGAAAGTTCCAGTTCCTGTTTTGACTATTCATACTGACGAATAGAATCGTCATTCTACTTCCTATGAATGTATCTCTATAAAAATTCTAACTCCCCTTTGGATCTACCTGTTCACCTATGGCCTCTGGTACTCGTACGCGTGTGATAACCACGTTCTTTGGCGTCTTGGCATTACTCGGAAGCCTGTAGAGTGGTGGACTGCTATTGACGACTACATCTCGAAGGAGTTTGGCGATGGTAGTGGCTCTATTAGTTCTTCCGGAAAGGCGCAAGGCGATAGTGCAAATAATCCACCGGTACTTCTTGCCTCAGTAATGCATGCGGGAAGCGGAGGACATCAAGATATGACTTTGAGGATGTATCATGTTGTTATATATAATATATCTAAGTAAGTACTATTCGAAAACTCAAATAGATAACCGAGCTTTTTCTTCTTTCAAGATTCTGCCTCGATATTGATGATCCCCCAATTGCCTCATGGAGGAGTTCACAATTTTGAGGCACTTCTGTGTCCTTGATATTGTTTAGTCTCCCAGATAGTACATGTAAGACTATGTGAGACTCATGCCATGCCATCAAAATAACCGAGTTACTGACTGAAATCAGGGAGGCAGCTTAACGTCAAGGCTACTCTTCCTTCTCGTCAGTATCTCGGTTATTCTGGTCAGTTACTCGATGAGTAGTGCTTTTTTAGTTTCAACATTGAAGCACGTGATCCACTGGAAGCACTACTCCCTCAATCTTCTAGTTCTAATATCTCGGTTCCTTACGTTACGCAAATTCTTGTCGACGGTGGTCTTGTAGTTTGCAAACAGCGCGTAACAGGTCATCGAGGAGCACCGGACGAGAAGGGCAGCGACAAGGACGATGACAAGAAAGATTCTGCTGAGCAGGAGGACGATGAAAAAAGCGAGAAAGGTGAAGAAAAAGCTGATAAGGCTGATGCGAAGAAGGAAGATGAAGCTGGCTCTGACGCTGAGAAAGGAGACGAGGGTAAAAGCGAGGATGCGGAAGACAAAGGAGATGCACCAGAGAAAGAAGAGGGGAACGAGAAGAAAGCGGAAGACGATGGAGAAAGTAAAGGAGGTGAAGGTGATGGAAGTCAAGATGCTGAGGAAAAAGCAGGTGGCGAAGCAAGCAGCACTGACGAGAAAAAGGAAGATCATCATGGTGAAAAAGGAGACGGTAAACAAGATGGACCGTCGACTTCCACTAGCGACACTGAGGGAAAGGCAAAAGAGGACGCTTCTGGTTCTAAAGGAGAAAAGTCATCATCATGGTTCTTTCTAGAGACTCATTCTGACAGTTCCACTGCGTCCAGTAGCGCCGCACAGCCTCGAAGCCGCCATAACAGACACCTTCTACGTCGAGAAGAAGAACAAAAGAACATCAACATCAAGCGTGATAAAGCTAGAAGAGGTGGACAACATCAAGTAGGACATCAGCTGTCCTCGTCTTCGACATCATCAAAGCAGTTGTCGATGGTTCAACTATCTGATGCAGAGGCTGCGAAGGTTATTGACGCTTCACAACTACCCTTTTGCGATGAAGTCAATACAAAAGGCGCAGCTTCGAAAGAGGAAGAAACAAGCAAGGATGAAGATGACGCAGCCAAAAATGAGGGTGCCGAAAAGGCTGCGTCCTCATCAACATCTACGTCGGAAGGGGATCAAGAAGATAAAGTCAAAGAACCGGAGGAACACGGGACAACAACAAAAGAAAAAGAGGAGAAGGAGGAAAAACAACAAGGCCAGGAGGATAATAGCTCAACAGCAGGGGGAGTGGGATCATGGTTCGGCTTTCTCGTAGGGAGTAGTGACGATGAAAAAAAGTCTAGTACATCCGAGAAAGTAGATGGACAAAAATCTACCGAGTCATCCTCTGGTGAAGAAGATGAGAAGAAAGAGGGCGAGGCCGACTCTGACGGTGACGCCAAAGCCGAAAAGGAGCATACCAGCTCCAGTGGGTCAGCGAGTATACTAGAGGTCAGACCGAGCTCTGATAGTAGTTCTAAAGTTATGAGCAGGTACTGTTTTCTTAAATATTTGTTCCAATTGAAGTTGTGTCCTCGTTCATCTTGTTAGTCTTGCTCTTTTTTCTGTCTCTAGTATTTACAAGTCGCCGGCCGTGTCGTTAGGCCTTTGAAACAAGCGCGCCCGGTACGTTTGTGGGCGGGCAAGCCCATACGTGGGTGGAACTGGGTACGGCTGTGCGTAGAGAGGCCCGCCCATGCGTGGGCGTGGTGGTGTGTGGGTGTGGTGGTGTGTGGATGTGGTGGTGTGTGGATGTGGTGGCGTGTGGATGTGGTGGCGTGTGGGTGTGTGTGGGTGTGGTGGTGGGTGGGTGTGTGTGTGGGTGTGGTGCTGTGTGTAGGTGTGGCGGTGGGTGTGGTGGTGTGCGGGTTTGGTGGTGTGTGGGTACGGTGGTGTGTGGGTGTGGGTTTGGTGGTGTGTGGGTGCGGTGGTGTGTGGGTGCGGTGGTGTGTGGGTGTGGGTTTGGTGGTGTGTGGGTGTGGGTTTGGTGGTGTGGTGGTGTGTGGGTTTGGTGGTGTGTGGGTGCGGTGGTGTGTGGGTGCGGTGGTGTGTGGGTGTGCGGTGGTGTGTGGGTGTGGGTTTGGTGGTGGGTGTGCGGTGGTGTGTGGGTGTGGGTTTGGTGGTGGGTGTGCGGGTGTGGTGGTGTGTGGGTTTGGTGGTGTGTGGGTGCGGTGGTGTGGTGGTGTGTGGGTTTGGTGGTGGTGTGTGGGTGTGGTGGTGTGTGGGTTTGGTGGTGTGTGGGTG